AAAATGGGCTGGGCTCAGTGGCTCACTCCTGCAATCCCAGCACTTTGGGTGGCCGAGGTGGGTGGATTGCCTGAGCTTGGGTAACAGTGAAACCCTGCCTCTACTAAAATACAAAAAAATTAGCCAGGGTGGCAGCATGCCCCTGTAATCCCAGCTACTTGGGAGGCTGAGGCAGGAGGATTGCTAGAACCCGGGAGATGGAGGTTGCAGTGAACTGAGATCGCGTCATTGCACTCCAGCCTGGGCAACAGAGTGAAACTCTATCTCAAAAAAGAAAAAAAATTAATAGTAACTGCCACTTTCTTTGTTTTCTTTTTTCTTTTGAGACAGGCTTTTGCTCTGTCCCCCAGGTAGGAGTGCATTTGCACAAACTTGGCTCAGGTGTGCCACCATGCCTGGCTATTTCTTTCTTTTTAGCCGGAGTCTCGCTCTGTTCCCCAGGCTGGAGTGCAGTGGCGCAGTCTTGGCTCACTGCAACCTCCGCCTCCTGGGCTCAAATGATTTCTCCTGCCTCAGTCTCCTAAGTAGCTGGGATTACAGGCATGTACCACCACGCCCAGCTAATTTTTGTATTTTTAGTAGAGACAGGGTTTCACTATGTTGGCCAGGCTGGTCTCAAACTCCTGACCTTACCTGCCTAGGCCACCCAAAGTGTTGGGATTACAAGCATGAGCCACCATGCCCGGCCACCTGGCTAGTTTTTTAAAAACTTTTGTGGAGACAGGGTCTTGCCATGTTGCCCAGGCTGGTCTTAAAGTCCTGGGCTCAAATGATCCTCCCACCTAAGCCTCCCAAAATACTGAGATTACAGGCATGAGCTACCGTAGCCACCATGCCTGGGCCACCTTTTTCTTTTATAAACTCTTAATTTTTCTTTCTTTTTTTTTTTTGAGGTGGAGTTTCAGTCTTTTTGACCAGGTTGGAGTGCAGTGGCGCAATCTCAGTTCACTGCAACCTCCGCCTCCCAGGTTCAAGCGATTCTCCTGGTGCAGCCTCCCAGGTAGCTGAGATTACAGGAGCCTGCTACCACACCTGGCTAATTTTTTTGTATTTTTAGTAGAGACAGGGTTTCTCCATGTTGGCCAGGCTGGTCTTAAACTCCTGACCTCCGGTGATCCACCTGTGTTGACCTCTCAAAGTGCTGGGATTATAGGCGTGAGCCACCACACCTAGCCTTTATAAACTCTAATTCTTTATTCTTGGTTTAATCTTCAGACTGCATTGAATTTTGCTTATTTATTCCACTTTTTCATTTGACCAGGAGTTGTAATTTTTAGTGACTTAATACTCTGGAGACAGGAAATAACTGGTGTTTAAATACTGTAGTCTTCATTTTTCCCTTCTAGAGTGTTCTGTTTGCTAGTTACGTGTTTGCTGTTATTTGCTTCTTGGCATGTGGCATGTAGTGGTGTTTGGAGAAGGCTTACAGTTGTGGGCAGCGTGCTTCTTATGACCGACATGGTGGTGTATGTTATTGCTTAGGACTCTGCATGGGTATAGTGTTTATGTACTCTGTAAGAAATTCATATTCTAAGGGTTAAGTAGTTACTCTGTTGTTTCTCTTGGTAATGGGAAAGGAAATAAATTGATTTTACTAAAATGACAAAATGTTTGATGTTTGCTTTTTTTTCTTTTTTTAGGATATGACATTCACTTTCATGACAAGAAAATCCTGTTGCTAGAAGCAGGTCCAAAGAAAGTATTGGAGAAATTGTCAGAAACTTATAGCAACAGGGTCAGCTCCATTTCCCCTGGCTCTGCAACGCTTCTCAGTAGTGAGTAGAAGATCCTCCTTCAAAGATCCAATCTCCTTTCCCCCTCAGCGTCCTAATATGTCCCATGGGGCAGAGTCATCAGAGCATCTCACAAGGAGGGAGCTCACTGAGGTGGGTGGAGAGAAGGGGGTGGGTTTGGCAGTCTTGTGCATAGTTGAAATTGCTACTGAATCAACTCCCTGTCTGAGGAATACATTCTTGAGGCATGTGGGTCCATCATGTTGACTTCACTTGTGATGTTGTGTCATTATGAATTAGTGGAAGTGAAATCATATGAACTAATTATGAACATGCACTTCGAATAGCAGTGCCCTTTTCATCCTGAGTCAAGCCCTCTAGCAAGCTAAGGAGCTTGCATGTGAAATGTTCCTGGGGTGCAGATGAATGTGTGCACATGGAGCCACTCAGCAAATTGTCCTTCAGTCTGCTAGATGATTCCCTCAGACCATCCTGTCTGAAACCACACCATCTCAAATTAAACTCTTCCGTCACTTTCCAGCCTTTTTTTCTGCTTTATTTTTTTTCATAATGCTTACTACTACCTAGCATTATATTATTTGTTTGTTTTTTATTGTCCATCTCCCCAGTTACAATGTCAACTGCAGAAGTACAGGGACTTTGTCCATTTGTTTTCCCACTCTATTGTATTTGGCACATAGTAGGTGCTCGGTAAATAGTTCCCCAATGAATGAATCTTTTCAGTGCTGTGAAGGACTAAAAAATAAAAAATAGGCCAGACACAGTCATGTGTACCTGTAGTCTTGGCCACTTGGGAGGCTAAGATGGGAGAATTGCTTGAGCCTGGGAGTTGAAGTCTAGCCTGGGCAACATACTGAGACCTTGTATCTT